GGCTAGTATGTACTCTCTAATGTAGGGGTCCTTAGAGAACCCTATGCTATATATACTTGAATAAAAATCCTAACTTCCAAGAGAGTAGATGTTAAAAAAAAAAAAAAAAAAAAAAAAAAAAACAAACTTTAGCAAATTTTAAAAAACACAAGTGTCAAGTGAAAAATCTTTTATTTAAAGAAAATAAAAAGAAAGAATAAGAAAAAAAATATAAAACAGTATTTAAATCTAATAGTCTTCTAAATACTATAAGGCAAATAGCAATAGACAATTGTGTTTAAAGCTAAATCTATTGACCAGTTTGTATAGATTAGATATAGCAAATACTTGCTCTTTACAAGGATTATTAGACTTTAGAACTTAGAAATATCCTTAAATATAACCAGAAAAAAGAAAGCACTAATAATCAGACTATTAATAGCTATATATGATCTTTAAATTCTAATAATATAAAGCTAAAATACACTTAATTCCTATTAATATTAATCTATTTGGATTGGATAATTATGTTGATATATGCAAAGGTTGATAATATCAGGATGGTTTTTATATACCTTGAGTCTATTTTGTCTTAATAGAAGGTTGATATTAATAGGTTGATATTAACGAAGTTGATATTAATAGAAGTCAAGTGTATTATTAACAAAGTCAGCTTTTACTTTATTTTATAATTAAGAAAAGAATAAAAAATAATAAAAAAAAAGATAAAATAAATAAAATAGAAAGATAAATAATAGTTCTTATTAATACTATCAAAAAAATAATAAATAAAATATAATTTTATTAAAGAAATTTTAGATAGAAACAACTCTGCTTTTTAGAAAAGCAAAAAACTACTCTTTTTATAGCTTTTTAGACCAATATTTAATTGGTTTTAAGGCTACCATGTGTTGTAGTATATTTTTAGATACTTCAAAATGCTTGGAAAACCTTGGCAATATAGAAAATCCAAGTAGTATCTCTTAAAACACCAATAAATAACACTGAGCTAATATTAAGTAAAATTATATTTATCAATACTTGGTACTCTATTACTTAATAAATTACATATTAACTAAAGGGTTTAAAAATTTTGTGTCCTCTGTACAATTGTGCATCACTATGATTAACCAATCAAAATCAATCACATGAACATGTGAGTCATAAATAACCAGCCAATTAACATCAATTGCAAATTTTATAAAAAAATTTTAAGAATTTTAAGATTTTTTTATTAAAAAAAAAAAAAAAAAAACAAGAATACAACAAACAATAAATCACACTATACCAAAAAAAAAAACATATATACAAAGTAATGAACATGTGACCCTAATCTAAACTCTAACACAAACTCTAACCTGAATCTAGACCATAACCCTACTCTAAAATCTACACTAATGTACACTAACTCTTATTAACTTTTACTACAATGCAACAACAAGCACTAATAACTTAAAGTCAAGATGAAATCACAAGCACCAATGATAAAAAAAGCTACAGTGAATTTACAAGTACTAACAATATACCAAAAACTATAGTGAAATCATAAACTCCAACAATATTAAATAATATTAAGGCAATGGCAAAAAACTAAAAATATGAAGATATAATAATATATCAGAAAAATGACAACACTATCAAATCGAAGCTACCAACAGACAATGCAGGCACAAATAATGGCAAACACAATATAAAATGTTAATAACTATAAAAAAAAAAAAAATAATAATAATAATAGAAATCTACCATATCCAACTGAAGAAATATACAAGACTACCACTGAAGAATATGCAAGACTACTACCAAAGAAATATGCAAGACCACTAATGAAGAAATGTGCAAAACTACGACTAAAAAAACATGCAAGACTATCACCAAAGAAATGTGCAAGACCATCACTGAAAAAATATGCAAGACTACTACCAAAGAAATATGCAAAACTACCTACCGAAGAAATGTGTGAAACCACATACCAAGAAGAAAATCTAACAATAGTACCAATGATGATACCTGTGACAACGAAAAGAAAGAAATGAGAAAGAGAAAAGAAGAAGAAAGAGAAAACAAAAGAAAAAAATAAGAAATGAAAAGAAAGACAAAAGGAAAGAAAAGAGGTAAGTAGAAAAAAAAGAACAAAAAGAAAGAAATAAAAAAATAAAAAAGAATAAATAGAAAAAATGAAAAAAAATGAAAACAATGAAAAGAAAAGAGAAAAATGAAAAGAAAGTAGAAGGAAAATGGAAAAAAAAAAGAAGCGAAAAGAAAAAAAAAAAGTAAAAAAAAAATGTAATGTAAAAAGTGAAAACAAAAAAAAAGAAAAAAGAAGGAAAAACAAAAAAAGAAAAGAGGAAAATACAAAGAAAGAAATAGAATAAATGAAAAGGTAGAAGTGAAAAAAGTGAAAAATAGAATAAATGAAAAGGAAGAAACAAAAAAAGTAAAAAAAAAAATGAAAAATGAAAAGAAAAAAAGGAGAAAAAGAAAAATAAGAAAACAAAAAAAAAAAGCAAAAAGATAATGAGTGAAAATAGCAAAAGCAAAAATAGCAAAAAAAACAGGAACAAAGCAAAAGTAGTAAAAGCAAATACAAAAAAAAAAGAGCAATAAAAGCAAAAGCAGCAATAAAAGCAAAAGAGCAAAAATGAGAGCAGCAAAAGCAAAAACAGCAAAACAAAAATAGCAAAAGCAAAAGCAGCAAAATCATGAGCAGCAAAAGCAAGCAAAAGCAACACAAGCAAAAGCACCAAAAGTAAAATACAAACAATAAAAAAAACAACAATTATCAAAAATTGTTATATATACATAATTTCTAATTTTATTTGCTAATTATATAGGATACACAACTATACAGATGCATAAAAAACATTTTCTCTTAACTAAAAATAAAACACATATTATTGTATAGCTCTCATATTAATCTACAATATCTATTAAGGTTATTTGATATTTAGAAGCCTCTTTAAATGTGTTGTCCTATAGCTAACTAAAAATAACTATAATAAAATATAAGAAATATATAGAAAAAGATACTAAAAATATAATTTATACTAAAATAATAATAAAAAATAATAACTAACTATAATATACAAATAAAATATAGTCAGACCTCGTTATAGATACTCTTGATATAGTCACAACCTTGTTATAGTCATACTATTTCTTAATTCTAGATATTATAAAACATATAAAATTTGACCTTTATATAGTCATACTTTCTTATAATCACCAAATATTTGTTTCTGAACTTGGTAATTATATCAAGGTCTGACTACATAATAATAACTAATAGAAAAAATAAAGAAAAGAAATTTTATTACAGTATGAAAAAAGAAAGAGAAGCATTTAAGCTTAAGAATACAAGTTTTATATAGCAAACTCAAAGAATATAGAAAATAAAAAATCTTAGAGTATAGCTAAAAAATATTAAAAGACATAGTAGAAACATATATAATGAAATTGCAAATAAACTAGTGAAAAAAGAAGCGAGAAAACAGAAAACAGTGACAACAAAGTGACTATAGTCAAAAAGATCATGTATACTAGCAAAGTAAAAGATATTATGATAAACAATCTAATAAAAGAAGTTGTAAACAAACTAGCTTTAGCTGCTCTAGATACAGAATAGACAATCTTAGATTTTCTTGGATTTAATTCTATCAAGGTTGGTAGTAGCTCATCTAAACATTTAACTTGAAATATCTATCTTTTGTTTTTCTTTTTACTTATATAGTTTCTCCTCTTGTTCTCATCTATTCATCTTTATGTTACTTTCTATTCTAATTCCTTCTTTTTATTTCTATTAATCCATCTAATATTTTTATCTAAGTTTGTCTATTCTGTATCTAGAGCAGCTAAAGCTAGTTTGTTTACAACTTCTTTTATTAGATTGTTTATCATAATATCTTTTACTTTGCTAGTATACATGATCTTTTTGACTATAGTCACTTTGTTGTCACTGTTTTCTGTTTTCTCGCTTCTTTTTTCACTAGTTTATTTGCAATTTCATTATATATGTTTCTACTATGTCTTTTAATATTTTTTAGCTATACTCTAAGATTTTTTATTTTCTATATTCTTTGAGTTTGCTATATAAAACTTGTATTCTTAAGCTTAAATGCTTCTCTTTCTTTTTTCATACTGTAATAAAATTTCTTTTCTTTATTTTTTCTATTAGTTATTATTATGTAGTCAGACCTTGATATAATTACCAAGTTCAGAAACAAATATTTGGTGATTATAAGAAAGTATGACTATATAAAGGTCAAATTTTATATGTTTTATAATATCTAGAATTAAGAAATAGTATGACTATAACAAGGTTGTGACTATATCAAGAGTATCTATAACGAGGTCTGACTATATTTTATTTGTATATTATAGTTAGTTATTATTTTTTATTATTATTTTAGTATAAATTATATTTTTAGTATCTTTTTCTATATATTTCTTATATTTTATTATAGTTATTTTTAGTTAGCTATAGGACAACACATTTAAAGAGGCTTCTAAATATCAAATAACCTTAATAGATATTGTAGATTAATATGAGAGCTATACAATAATATGTGTTTTATTTTTAGTTAAGAGAAAATGTTTTTTATGCATCTGTATAGTTGTGTATCCTATATAATTAGCAAATAAAATTAGAAATTATGTATATATAACAATTTTTGATAATTGTTGTTTTTTTTATTGTTTGTATTTTACTTTTGGTGCTTTTGCTTGTGTTGCTTTTGCTTGCTTTTGCTGCTCATGATTTTGCTGCTTTTGCTTTTGCTATTTTTGTTTTGCTGTTTTTGCTTTTGCTGCTCTCATTTTTGCTCTTTTGCTTTTATTGCTGCTTTTGCTTTTATTGCTCTTTTTTTTTTGTATTTGCTTTTACTACTTTTGCTTTGTTCCTGTTTTTTTTGCTATTTTTGCTTTTGCTATTTTCACTCATTATCTTTTTGCTTTTTTTTTTTGTTTTCTTATTTTTCTTTTTCTCCTTTTTTTCTTTTCATTTTTCATTTTTTTTTTTACTTTTTTTGTTTCTTCCTTTTCATTTATTCTATTTTTCACTTTTTTCACTTCTACCTTTTCATTTATTCTATTTCTTTCTTTGTATTTTCCTCTTTTCTTTTTTTGTTTTTCCTTCTTTTTTCTTTTTTTTTGTTTTCACTTTTTACATTACATTTTTTTTTTACTTTTTTTTTTTCTTTTCGCTTCTTTTTTTTTTCCATTTTCCTTCTACTTTCTTTTCATTTTTCTCTTTTCTTTTCATTGTTTTCATTTTTTTTCATTTTTTCTATTTATTCTTTTTTATTTTTTTATTTCTTTCTTTTTGTTCTTTTTTTTCTACTTACCTCTTTTCTTTCCTTTTGTCTTTCTTTTCATTTCTTATTTTTTTCTTTTGTTTTCTCTTTCTTCTTCTTTTCTCTTTCTCATTTCTTTCTTTTCGTTGTCACAGGTATCATCATTGGTACTATTGTTAGATTTTCTTCTTGGTATGTGGTTTCACACATTTCTTCGGTAGGTAGTTTTGCATATTTCTTTGGTAGTAGTCTTGCATATTTTTTCAGTGATGGTCTTGCACATTTCTTTGGTGATAGTCTTGCATGTTTTTTTAGTCGTAGTTTTGCACATTTCTTCATTAGTGGTCTTGCATATTTCTTTGGTAGTAGTCTTGCATATTCTTCAGTGGTAGTCTTGTATATTTCTTCAGTTGGATATGGTAGATTTCTATTATTATTATTATTTTTTTTTTTTTTATAGTTATTAACATTTTATATTGTGTTTGCCATTATTTGTGCCTGCATTGTCTGTTGGTAGCTTCGATTTGATAGTGTTGTCATTTTTCTGATATATTATTATATCTTCATATTTTTAGTTTTTTGCCATTGCCTTAATATTATTTAATATTGTTGGAGTTTATGATTTCACTATAGTTTTTGGTATATTGTTAGTACTTGTAAATTCACTGTAGCTTTTTTTATCATTGGTGCTTGTGATTTCATCTTGACTTTAAGTTATTAGTGCTTGTTGTTGCATTGTAGTAAAAGTTAATAAGAGTTAGTGTACATTAGTGTAGATTTTAGAGTAGGGTTATGGTCTAGATTCAGGTTAGAGTTTGTGTTAGAGTTTAGATTAGGGTCACATGTTCATTACTTTGTATATATGTTTTTTTTTTTGGTATAGTGTGATTTATTGTTTGTTGTATTCTTGTTTTTTTTTTTTTTTTTTTAATAAAAAAATCTTAAAATTCTTAAAATTTTTTTATAAAATTTGCAATTGATGTTAATTGGCTGGTTATTTATGACTCACATGTTCATGTGATTGATTTTGATTGGTTAATCATAGTGATGCACAATTGTACAGAGGACACAAAATTTTTAAACCCTTTAGTTAATATGTAATTTATTAAGTAATAGAGTACCAAGTATTGATAAATATAATTTTACTTAATATTAGCTCAGTGTTATTTATTGGTGTTTTAAGAGATACTACTTGGATTTTCTATATTGCCAAGGTTTTCCAAGCATTTTGAAGTATCTAAAAATATACTACAACACATGGTAGCCTTAAAACCAATTAAATATTGGTCTAAAAAGCTATAAAAAGAGTAGTTTTTTGCTTTTCTAAAAAGCAGAGTTGTTTCTATCTAAAATTTCTTTAATAAAATTATATTTTATTTATTATTTTTTTGATAGTATTAATAAGAACTATTATTTATCTTTCTATTTTATTTATTTTATCTTTTTTTTTATTATTTTTTATTCTTTTCTTAATTATAAAATAAAGTAAAAGCTGACTTTGTTAATAATACACTTGACTTCTATTAATATCAACTTCGTTAATATCAACCTATTAATATCAACCTTCTATTAAGACAAAATAGACTCAAGGTATATAAAAACCATCCTGATATTATCAACCTTTGCATATATCAACATAATTATCCAATCCAAATAGATTAATATTAATAGGAATTAAGTGTATTTTAGCTTTATATTATTAGAATTTAAAGATCATATATAGCTATTAATAGTCTGATTATTAG